GCGCCGTGTGGCGCGCCTGCCAGCCCTGCAAGCTCCCACGACTCTGGCCGCAGCACAACCTGCGGCTGGCACGCCAAGCGGCGCAAGGGCGCCGCGCCTGCGCGCGCCCCCATGATCTGATTTAGCCCGCCGCTCGAGCGGCGTCCCCTGGTGCTGCCCCTGGCGATGAAGCAATACAGCACGTCGCTCCCTGTTGTCAGCCCCCCGACACCGGCCAAACGCGCCCCGCTGGCCCTGCCAATGGACCACGCGCGAGGCTGCACGCTGCCCGGCACGCTCAACGGTTGCGAGCTATGCAGTGCGGGCTGTGTCGGTTGGCGCCCGCAGCCTTGCGCCCCCCTGCTTAGCAGATGGTTTCTCGCTGTGGCGCCGGCGGCACAGAGTGCCCCGAGGGCAGGGCGCGCCGCGGGGCGCAGCGCAGCAGCTCTGGGCCTCGCCCATCGCGCCGTGATCCAAAGAGGCCTCCCCTTCGTTAGCTTTGGCACTGAATCCTAAAGCTGTACTCGTATCCATCACCCCAGGGCCTCCGCCTCAACCTCCCTATTTGCCTGTGTCCGGCACGGGCGCGTGGCGGGCCTGGGAAGCCGCGGCCTGCGCGCGTGCGCAGCCGGCATGGGCGGGGCCGACGGGGACACTCGCGTGTGTTCCGTTCCCAGTGCCGCGCGCCCGGCCCCTCTTGCTGCGCGGCAACTGCACACTCTCGGCCCCTCTTTGGGGTCTTGATTTCGAGGGCGGAGCGCAGCATGCGTTTGTGTGGCCCCAAACAGGTGTGACAAGATTGGTCTTAGATTACAGGCAGCACACGGCACACCTTGCTGCAGGTTTCGGAGCTGTCGCATCGCTCTCTGCGCCACACGTCCGACCTGTTTCGTTTGCGGCGCCAAAGTTGCAGCAGAGCGCGCCTTTTGCAGGCGCGCCTGTGCGCGCGACTGTGCCAACGGGCCTTGGGGCCAGCCAGTTCCTGCCTTTGTGGCGGCCTGCAGCATCACCTGAGCACTTGGCCGCGCGCGTCGGCTCCTCACGCGCGCGCAGCCGCCGCGTCACCAACAGCCGCCACTCCCCGCCGCACCCCGAGAGGGGGCGCGGCGCAGGGCGGCGCCGCTGGGCCCGTTGCTGCGGCTTCATGGCTGCGCCCGACCGCGGCCGGCATGCCTTGAGGGGCCGCGGCGCATCACGCAGCGGCCCCTGAGAAGGCTGGGCGTTGATGTGCGCGCGTGCGCGCAGCACTTGCGCGCGGCGTGTGCCTGGAGCCTTGGACAGCGGCGCTCGCCGGTTACCTCGGGGCCTTGGGACATGGCCGGGAGGGTACAACCTTTGTGGTCGGGTTTTGTGTGACTCACACACGCACTTGGGACGGCAGGGGGAACTTCGATATTGCTGTTTGCTCGCAGGGAGGGAGGGAGGGGCGCCTTGGCCCCGGCCGTGACAACGCACTGCATTGATAGAGGGATAACAGGTTATTTCGCCAGCACTGCATGCGTGTGCACGCCCCCTTTCGCGTGCCGCGCCAGAGCCCCTGCTTCGGGGGTGGGGAGGGAGGGAGATAGCCCGGCGTGTCCTGGCCTCAGCTTTGGTTGGGTGTCGCGCCGCCGCGCTCCTCCGCCCCCTGCACCGCCGGCACGCCGCGACGTTTCCTCGCGGCGGCGGCGTCCTTGCCTTTCTGATGACGAGGGCAGTGTGTGTTTGTGTGTGCGTGTCCGTTTATGTGCGACGTCGCAGGTCGTCGCTCCGCAATGCATCCGCCGCGTCAGCAGTGCGCCCGCGGCGGCCGGGGCGGGCCGGTTTGGCCTGCAGGGCCGCCGCACGATCGTTTGGGCGCTGGCGCTCTATGTATTGAGTCCCTTACCATTGGCAATGCTGCAGCCCTCGCAGCAGGGCGTGCGCTAGCAGGGGCCGCGGCGCACGCGGCCCCCAGGCACGACTAAACCCCTCACTACTCAAGCAGCAGCACATTACCCGGCAAACCTGCACGCGCGCGCGCGGGCGCGACTGCACCCCATGCGCCCGCCGCCGCCGCGCCCGCCCGCTCCCGCTTCACTGCACGCGCCCCGAAGGAGGCGCAACCCCAGTGACGCGGGAGCGTGGCCCCCAACATCTGTCATCATTGACGCCGCGCGTCGTCGTCACTGACTCGCGGCCTTGACACACTGCCTTGCCGCTTCGCCTTTCCGCGTGCAGCACGCGCGCCGGCCGGGTCGGGCGAGTGCGCCTCCAGGGCTGGGCGGCTTTCGTTCCCCTCGCCCGTCTGCGCATGCGCCCGGGCCTGGCCCGCCGGCTGCAGCTTTGTACGTGTAGTCGCCTCTTGTACTCATGCCCCCCGCTCTCTGTTGATCGTCTCGTCCGTCTCGTCCGTCCAAATCATTTCGACTCGTTTGCTCTTCACGGCCAAGCTCGGAGCCCCAAAGGGCCCTCGCACCAACCCCCCGCTCGCCGCCGCGCCCCAGCGCTGGCTGATGGGGGTGTGGCCCCCACAACGCCGACGCCCCCGCGTTTGTCCGCCCCTCTCTTTTTGTGTCGCCTCGCTGCCCCTGGAGGAAAGGGGTACAAGTTCTAACGTCATCGCCGCGCGCGCGCTGCTCCCCCGACACCCTGTACACGCGTGGCGCCGGGCGGCTGCTGGGCGCCTGAGAAAGGCGCCGGCGCTGTGCCCGGCGCACCGCGCACGCAGGGCTGCGGTTGGTCGTTCGTTCGCAGGGGCGGGCGTTTGCAAGGGTTGTCAGTATTATGTCCCCGTGTTGTGGCCCGTCTTGATGATTTTGGCGCCCGGCCCCCGCTGCCTGCATGGACCAGGCTGCGGGGTGCGAGGGCTGCTTTCGCAGCTGCAGCTTCATCGCAGTGCTGCGTTATTTGGATGGCCCTATCAGGTGGCCCCGTGCTGCGGCGGTGCTTTGCCGCTGGCAGCACTGGGACAGGCATTCACGTCTGCGTCGCATCCACTGTGATTGCAGCACTGTAAGCAATCAGCATGAGCCTCCGCTTCTGGCTGGCAGACGCCGGGCCCGGCAGCAGCTTCATGGCAGTGTGTGCATAGTAAGGGGAGGCAGTGGGCATACATTCGCTCGGCGGTCGCGTCGTGATGGCTATCAAGTCGTGCATTCACTGGGTTCAGATCCATGCATTGTTTCTGCGTGCCAATCAACGGACATGTACCTCAGACGCATACCGAGCGAATCCGCCCGCAAGCGGTTACATGACACACCACAGCTGCCGGACCGTGACCGACGGGTCCCGCGGCGCCTCGACGGCCAGCCCCAGCTCTGGGCTGAACACCGGCCCCCGCGCCTCCCCGCCGCCGTCTGCGCAGTAGCAGGCAGCCGCCCAGGTGTCGGCGCGCGCGCAGGCCTCGTCCGCCACGACGCACTCGTCCTCCTCCCTGGGGGGTCGCGAGGGTGCGGGGGCAGCCAAGGCGGTGAATCAGTGGGGAGGGGGCTGGAATTGATTACCGGGGCGCATGGCTTAGCAGATGTGCATACGTGAGGACGGCACATCGAGATGCTGTGTATCTGGTAGGCTGTCGCAGCCGCATGAAGCGTTCGAGCCCCCAAGCGCTTCTGAAACAAACTCCCCTCCTCTTCCCCACGCTCAATGCCGCCCGCTCACGCGCGGGCCCGCGCCGCCGCAGCCTCCTGCAGCGCCGCAGCCGCGTCGCCGCGCACGTTGGAGGCGTCATACTGCACACCAAACACGGGCGACTGCGAGTACACCTGCCGCCAACGATGGGGATCCGCGTCCGCGGGGTGTCGCCCGTCAGCGAGTCAACCCGTTTGCTTGACAGCTGCCAACCGGCTGCCGCGGCAGCTGTGGGAATCTAGCCAGCAGGTGTCCCTGCTACTTGCACGCACTGGCGCAAGCACGCGGCGCGCCATGAGTGAAAATTGCACCCCTGGCACTCACGCGCCCAGCCCGCCAACTGCAGCAGCGCACGCGGCATGCACCAATCCTGAAAGTTTGCCCCGGCTGTACGCGTCCCGCTGCAGTCAGCCGTGCGCCCACACATGACTGATGTACCTGCCAGAGGCTGCTGATCTCCTTGTGCACGTAATCCAGGGTCTCCTGGGGCTCCACCCTGCGGGAGTGCAGAAGCATTGGTCAACAGCATTGGGTCGGCTCTGCTGCTGCCATCGTCAGGCGCCGTCGCATCGACGTGCACTCTGCGCTGCAGCGCGCGCTCAACATGTGGCTAGGCAGGTGCTGGGGTGGCTGCAGCCAAACGGCAGGTGCCATGCGCCCGCGGCACGCGGTCTCGCAGCCGTCACTGCCTACAAGAGCGCCCCTGACAAGCGAGGCCGGCGGCCCCGCGCTCTCACTTGAACCCCAGCACGTAGCTGCCTGCCCTGACGGTCGTCTCCAGCACCAGGCAGGGGCCAAACTTGCTCTCGCAGACGCGCACCGACTTGATCTGCGCCCAAAGGGGAAAATTGACATCCACACTAAGGAGACGTTTTGTTCTGGGCATTGTCAAGATCGTGCTGCTCGCACGGGCGTGTAGAGGGAACACGCAGCCGGCTGTCACGTGCCGACACGCGCAGCCGCCCACAGCCCCACAGGCCGGCCTCGCCGTTCCCGCGCGCCCGCC